CTACTCTGAACAGGACTTTTGTAGCTTGTGCAATTTGTCACAGTTAAGGAGAACAGCTGCGTACTTTCTTTTTACTGATATTTCAAATGTCTCCTGACTTAAAGTAAGACTATATTGTCAAATAAATCTTCGTATATCATCTTATATGTGCCAGCTCTTTATGTGGAAAGTATATTTTTACATTTGGGGTGGATTCAAAATTTATTAGTCATATTTAAGCATGACAGCTAAAAACAGAGGAGCATATCATACTCTCTCAGAAAGATGTGGAGTTGAAGGGAAGAAAGGTTCTCAGATTTCCTGCATAAAAGGCTTTTATTTCCCCCTGTTTTTTTATTGCCTTTAGCTTAGAGAAACAAGTTTTTTTCTAGATCTTTAGAATATTTTACATCGCTTTGTGGGTTTTAAAATCTTTTGGACAATTACAAACTTCAGCCCAATGAACCTGCTAGTTCATTCATGACTATTAGGAATCATTTTTGCTGTAAATAGTTTCAAAACTAGCGTTTCCCATATGAAAGAATAAATGCATTTTATTTACATTCCTTTTGAGCTGTTTCTCAGTAAAATAAGAGATGACTCCTTTCACACCCCGCTTCCAGCTTTTGAAGAAAAATCTTGTATCCAGACCATGCAGCAATTGCACCACCTGATGGACCTACCCATGGAATCCCAATTATCCTGCAGATTCTTCACAACAGCAGGTCAGAACTTCGCTCCAATTATCAGCCTGATGAACCACGCTTCAGCAAATTTTTGAGTTATACTCAGCTTGAGAACAGAAGTGTATGTACAGAACAGCATGGAGTAGATGCTGATTACATTCTTGATGACCTGCTTGTCATTACAGTTGTCAATTGTTTGACACAAAGGTGAAGCCCAGCACACACAATCTCCCACATTTTTAATATGGATTTGGAAAATGTTCAGAACTGTCTGTGACTACTGTTGGGAAATTAATTTTCTTTGTTTCGGGAACTTTTTTCAGCATAGGGGAACTACAGTAACATTTGGGAAATACATTCAATTTTATTTAAAATGTTCTTTCCAGCAAGTTTATGTGCTAGGATTTGATCTTGTTATTGTTTCTATTTTTCTCCATGGATCAGGGCAGACCATTATAAATATGTCAATTCTGGACTGAACAGCTGATGTTGGGGCCTCTGAGGATCATTCTAGCTTCATAAAAATTACTTTAACCCCAACTTCAGACCTTGGTTTAAAATGGGGTCAGAGCTGAAATTTTCACTACAAAATTGGTAAAAACTTTGGAATTTGGTCCTTTAAGAAGGGTAGCACTGACTCACTCATTAACTGGTAGCCTACATCTACATTTTTAGCTATGCTTGCTTTTGCTTCCTCTTTCACATTGTGACTTTCTGAACTGACTGGAAACTGACAATCATCTGCTTCCTGACTAATGCAAATTCAGAACTCTCTGGCACTTTTTTAAACTGCAATCATTAAAACTCTTGGCTAGACAGGTCATATTAAAAAAATTTAAAAAAAATCCCTGGTGTTTTAAAAAAAACTCTCTAAAAAAGAGCAAACAAAAAATGTTTGGCTAATGAGACTCAAAAACTCAAAATCCAATCTATAGCAGGAAAGGAGGCAAGACAAAGTGGATGAGTGGCAAAGAAATTGCTCTAATAAAATGTTGAATAGGATTCATAGTTTAATGAGACATTCTAAGCCTGTTAAATGTCACCTCTTGCCCAGAAGATGGAGCATTATGCTAAAATATGATGAACCAAAAAGCAAAAGTGACCTTCCCAAAGTACAACATTATCCCAACAGACTTTGGCAGCTTCTGCTGAAGTGAGTACAGCCGGTGGGACAAACACACCACCTCAGTGCTCTGGGAGAAAAGAAGAGAGCCTGGAGGTGCTCAGTCTGCTCAGTCCACTGGCACACCCCATCCTTCCAGCCAATTTCTGCCACTGGGGAGCAGGCAGAGTGCTGGACCAAAATTCCTTCTTTTCTGGCTCTTCTACAGCTGGCCCAGCAAATGCTGCCCAGATACCGGGATCTGATCACTCTAGCAGGGAATGAAGCACCTCCAGTGAGAACCCAAGGCACTCCTGTCACCTCTCCAGAGCTCCTGGGGACACATTCAGAGCACAATGGTCTCAGCAGGCATCAAAGTTCATTTGCAGCAGAGCTTCTGGTTTCCTCTCCTTTGAAAGGTATCTAATATAGATATGCAATCAGTGCTTTAAGAACTGAGACCTCCAGTGAGAACCCAAGGCACTCCTGTCACCTCTCCAGAGCTCCTGGGGACACATTCAGAGCACAATGGTCTCAGCAGGCATCAAAGTTCATTTGCAGCAGAGCTTCTGGTTTCCTCTCCTTTGAAAGGTATCTAATATATATATATGCAATCAGTGCTTTAAGAACTGACCCTACATGAACAAAATTGAAATAATCAGGGCATTCCCTGAAAAACTGCACTACTACTCTGAACTCAATCGCTAAGGGAGACAGAAGCAAAGTCTGACCTCAGGTCAGGACACTGAGACACAAGTGCTGGTACCTCCCTCCAGAGGACAGGGACGAGCAAAAGACCACACAAAGATGAGAAGTCAACCCAACTTCTACTGATACATGCTTATAAAATCTGTTTGTTTTTTTAAAACATTCTTCAAAACACCCATTTAAATAATATTGCTTAATGGCCACTGAGGAAAAGTACACGCAATTTTACACTGTAAATAGAATTGCACCTTCCACGGTTAAAGCTGAGCCACTTTTTAAACTGTGCACACTGCAGGATGTTCAGGAGAGGATGGAAAGTTCAGCTTTTTTAAGAGTTTGCCAAGGGAAAGGAACAGTGACAAGCTGGGCTTTGCCGAAGGCTCCTCTTTGGCCACCAGGAGGCTCCATTGGAACGGGATTGGGACAGTAAAACATTTTTCTACAGAAGCAAGTGAGGAAGGCCAGGTCAGAAATAAACACATAGAAACCCCGAGCCCCAAAACCTTTTCCAGCCATCTTTTATCATCTTTATCCTCTACTTTGTCTTATCCTTCCTTTTCCTCCCTCCCCCTCCAAATCTGTCAGGCCTAAAAATGTGTAAAAACATTATTTGACAAAAGGATTTAAACTTTTACCCCAAGAGCTATTAGGGTTTTAATTTCCAAAGCATATTTCAGTCTTCAATACTGATAAATTAAACCTAAGATTTTTGTGCTAAAAAGAAAACAAAAATGTCTAAAGTAATACTTTAAAAACCTCTCAAAATGGCATATTTTTTACTTCTTGCTGATAATATACTAAGAAAATTGAGTCAGTGAATCAGTGCACACATTATATTCCTACCCCTTCCTTTATAACAACATTTGCCTGCTTGATTTAAATGAAGTTTTTTGAACTTTAGCATTTATGGCAGCAGCACAAGCTTTGTTAGAAAGTTTCACTTTTGCAGGTTTTTGAAGAGAAATGGAACAAAAGCTTTCTTCTTAAGCAACAGCAGTAAAACACACCAAGCCTGCACCATATGATGTAGTTTGGGTATCACTGGCATTGTTTCATACTTGCTGACATTTATTACAGCAGTTTAATTTCCATTAAGGCACCTGCAGTTTTACTCATCTGTGCAATGTAAACCTGTCTTAAAACTGAGTAACTAAGTTCATGCACAGCTTTTGGACATTTTGGCTAATTTTTATGGAAGGATTAAAAAGAACACTTAGAAATTCAGTTAGTGCAGTAGTGATCCAAGATAAATGAATACCCTCTGAATGCAACGGGAATTTCCTCAGCCCTCCTTTTGATGGCACAGGTGATGCTAAGTTCCTACTGCCAGTGTGTCAGGAGGGTTTTTTACCTTGGGCAAACCCAACCCTTTGGACAGAAACCAAAGGTGAACAAGATGCTGAACATGAATTCATGAATATCAGGCAGTCTGGGCCAGTGCTCTTAGTCTGGAAACTGTACAGACAGCAGCAATTCAGCTTACAGATTTGAATGAAGATTTCTAGGTTTAAATGAAGTTATGACTATAAAGTAGTGTGAGTAGTTTATTTTTGTTGGTGCACTACCAACTGGTTTTGTCCCAGTGCCTAGACTGTCAGGCAATAGCCAGTGTGCCTCCAGGTATCCACATCTTGCCAAGGTATCCACATCTTTGTGCTGTGCTTCCTGAAGGGTTCAAAGACCCTTCTCAGAATCTCAAAACTAAAAGAGGCTCATGACAAAATCCAAGGGTCATGGACTCTTACAGAAACTGATCCAAATGTTCTTCCCTATGCAGTTATCACCTGCGTCTGTTCCATTAAACTTTTGTAGTAATTCTGCTTCAGTCTGGAAGAAAACAGGCAAATAAAGGCTTTGCCACTTCCAGTGCCTCGCTGTTTATCACAGGTTATCATCTCCAAAACAGTTACTTTGTCGATCTTTACTTTGTCAATGGGAAGATCCATTTGGATGTTTTAGACCATTTGGTGATAATGCAATCTATAACTGCTTAAAAAACCCTTTAGGACAGTCAGAGTACCTTACCAAGTGTCTGCTACTGCTGGTAAGTACCAGACACTTGCAGTGAGTTTCATGTCAAAGCATTATTAACAGACAGTATTAACTTCATGTTTCTTACTGTTACAATCTGTCATGTTACTCCATTAATTCTGTAAGCTTGATTCTACAGCCTTGAAAACAGAAGTCTTCTTTTTAAAACTATTTTAAAACTCTACTTCCGCATTTCATTTTCTTTCATCTTATTACTTCAGAGGGGATTATTGCACATATAAAAGAAATGGAAATAAAAAATAAAATTTTCAATGTCATTATTTTATTTAAATTTTAGGATTCTTAGCTGTCTTTAGTGTTTGGAAAGGTAGTGGCTCATTTTATTCCTGTCTTTAGAAATTACAGGAAGAATTCTTTTCTTTGGTCTGTTTAGCTAAATGGCACAAACTTCCATCATGCTGAAGATAAGAACAGAACAAGTCAAGCAGTCCCTCCATTATTTGAACACATTAAGAACCACATAAAATTAATTGTTGATGTAGCTGGGGTAAAAAACTAGTTAATGACTAAGCAGCACAGATTCTATCACCTACAATACTTTTCAAAGATACAGTATAGCAAAGTAATGCCCATCTCTTGTTCTGAACAGAATACATAAGTAAAAACAAACATTTTAAAAAACAAATTATCTTGACATAAATATTATAGATTGTTTTTTCAAGATTGTTTCCTGTGCTGCAGATGTTTACTTGCTGGGTGAAAAGCATAAAGGTAGTTTCATGGCTGATAGTGAATATTTTAATAATTGGAACTTTTTCCTTTTATTCATTATGATTACAAAGGAGAAGTTTCATGGGGTTTTTGGAAATTATTTATGTGAAGTTGGGGGAGTGTTTTGAATGGATCTGTACAAACCCAAGTGTGCTGTGTGATTTGCACAATCAAAGCTTGGACCGGAGCAGATACAGAAGTCACTGGCTTGTTTCTCACATTATTTGCACATACACTGAACCTCATCTTAAAATATATGACTGTTTCTGCAAATTATGGAACATTTAAAAAAAACCCTTATAGGTAATAACTCCTCAGAGCATCAGTGGACCTTGCATTACTCAAGATGTTCTCTTGACACCATACACTTAAAAGTTCAACACACTAATTTTTTTCTCTGCTTACCCTTTCAACAAAGGACGAAATAATCAGCTTCTGGTTCTACTACAGGCAGGAAGAATTTAATTTTACCTGTTCACACAAAAACTCAACTATTTCTCATCCAACATCATGTAAATATATCCCAAGCTTAAACACAAGGTCAGACTGCTAATGTATTGAGTTTGCTAATACAGTACAAGAATTTGTTTTAACTTTATTTTCATGTACATTTTCAGAATATATAGAGTATAGAAAATGGTATATTTTAAAGGCATATAAGGTAGAAAAAAAACCCTAAAATATGTTTGTCCTGCTCCAACTCTAGTTCAGACTGATTTGTTCACTTGTGCAGAACATTCCCATCTCTTCTGTGTGGCATCATGCACATGCTGGTGCTTGTACACAAGTGGAGGTGCTGTGCATCAGAGTATTTGTTATGTGTGTGCTTTTCACTTTATTAAAGGGACAGAGCTTTTACTGTGGAATTAAACTGTGTTCAGATATATATCTACATCTTTATTTTAAATATTTGCTCTACAAAATCATTATCAAGGCAAGAAACGGAAGCATCTCTGCAAGTCAGTGGCACAAAAGCTTAACTTAGAATTCCTCATGACTGTCGTCTAGATATTAGAGCTTTAATCCATATTTGCTTAAAAATTTCCCTTATTGTTTCATGTTTTAGTAAATGTAGCAAAATGCCTAGCTAACAGTCTATCTACTTTCATCCTTAAACCTGCATCTATTTATTTAAGACAAAATCTGCTTGTTAGCAAAAACTCAGGTTTTGAACCTGAAATGTATTCAGCAAATTATAGAAACACTTTTTTAAAAAGTAGGGTAATAATTCTTGAAATTCAGAGCACTCCCACTAAAAGGAAAAAAAACTGACAAAATACTAGCATGATGCTAGACTGGGGAGAATCCGTTTTCTTCAAACTGATGTGGGTTTTTAACTATTATTATTACTTTTACTGTGATGTCCTGCTTGCTCATCCTAATTTTTTAACAGTCTTATTGGGATTTCTTTGCTCCCAAAAGACAAGCAGCACATGCCAAAGCATTACAGGATGTTGAAGAAATGAAGACGGAACTACATGATCTGTCACTCATGCTGGAGACAGTTCCTAAAAAGCTATGCACCTGGACTTCTACTTTCTGATAAATCAAGGATAAATCTGAAGAATTCAGATAAAATTTCATTATCTGATGTCTAATGTAGTAATTATTAACTTCATTAGAGCTACACTTCCTTATGATACTGAACTTGTTCTTCTTTGTGTAATACCGCATTCAAAACCTATTTACCTTTTTACTGCCTCTGTATTGGGCCAGCTGTAGTGAATATGAAGTAAACAAATAAACTGTTAGAGCTTTTCAAAAGTCAAATCTGTACTTAAGCATCAAAGTTGTGACTAATCAGAACAGGCCACTTCATTCATTCTCCACACTGATCTCCAAAATCACCATCAGCCAAATCCAGTATTACACTGTTGAGCAGTTAAGCCTGGTATTAGAGAAAAGATTTAGCTCCCAAAATTACTGAAAAATAAAAACCACCAAGTCATTTTATCTTGAAACCTATCCTGGAATTCATAAGTATAGCAATTGCACTCTGATTGGTTTAGTAGCAGTGTTTAGTTCCAGTAAAATCCACAAAGGAATTTAAAATGAATTTTTTAAAGGCCAATTTCCTAATGGGCAGACTCAGGGAATGCTTTTGTGCAGGACACATTAACCATGAAATCACTACATAATAAAAGCCCAGTGTAATAAACAATTTGAGTTAGGCTGTAAAAACCTAAATTTGGCATTGCTTGATCACTAGTCTGCTTAGAAATCTGCAGATGTAGGTCCAGCACTGCTTTTCTGTTTCCCTCTTCTCCCTCCCAGGAAGGCTGCCCAAGGCTAAGCTGAAGGGATGCAGGACGGGGCTGGGGAGCTCCTCACTGCCCCAGCTGTGCTGGGCCCAGGCTCAGCAGGGAATTGGCTGATAAGTGCTCCCACCAAAGGCTCTGTGTGCTTAAATTAAATGTGAAACACAATCAAGAGAAACATTTGCTGGAGTACAAAAAGGGCTTGTTTACTTTTGTAAAGCAAGTGGTTTTAATAAAAACTTGATGACACTTACTGCACATTACAAAGAGCAGAACACTGGTCCTGTGCCAGGGCAGACGCTCTGAGTGAAGCTTTGGGCTTCAGAATTGTTCACTTTTTCATTGTCTTCTGGGCCTCGTTTTTTTACACACCCTTCTATTGAACATATTTCAAAGGGATATCTGGTCCAGGAATACAGTTAGTATATTGCTTACAAATTAATTTGTATGGGCTTCTTTTGTAATCTACTAGAGGCCAGGACAAACTGTTAATGTCTAATAAAGGAAAACCATTTATGATGATGAAATATGTAAAAGAAACAACTTGGCTTTGTCTTGCTCTGACCCCTGACCTGGAGGTGCCAGACATTTCATTTCACCTGCCTTTTTTTTTTTTTTAATTCTGTTTCATATCAAGAACACAGTACATTTTTAGAGAAACAATACCTTTACTACAAAACCATGTAAATGATTATATACAAAATGGTTACTGGAATTTGGTTTTGTACTGCAGTGACAGAAATAACTAGGTGCTGACATTTATTTACGCTTCCTTAATACTAAGTACATCACTCCACTGATCAGGGTAAAGGCAAAGGCAATCCAGGCTAAGACAAAGGAATAGCCATATTGGCCTTTGGAAACTTCCATTACATATCCACGGCTCTGGTGCAGTTCTTCATGCCTGTCTGTGTAAATGGAAGCTGCAATCATAACACAAAGACCTGCAGGAGGAAGAAAATAATAAAGGTCAGCATCTTAAAACATTATCAGTACACACATCTATTCACTGTCTCTTCTGTCAGCTGCTTCCACCAATGTCCTTTCTTTGCAGATGCTCATTTTCCATCCTCAAACTAAACTGGAAGCATTTCAAGACATATTTTCAGTTTATTTGGCAGGCTTTAAATTGGAAGTGCTGTTGTGTATCTATGTCATTTGCAGTGAACAGAAAACTATTCTGAACATCTGGGTAATTTTTAAGACTGACAAAAAAGAGAAGTGAGTGCTTGCCTGTAACAATTAGAAAGTTATTTAGTATGTTCAAGAAGTTCAGCATCTCAAATTCTTTCCCTTCAAAGTTTAAATTACTTTATCCTGAGCAGTGATGACATCCATGTTTTAACTGTCTATACATCACAGAATGGTGCAGTTCCCTATTTAAACAATTATGAAGGATAAGCTATAGCCTCAAGAGCACTACAGAGTTCATGCAGCTTTTCCTGCTTTCCTACTTTCATAAAAATATCATTAAAGTCAAAAGGATTGAAAAATCACTCACATGACAGGAGCTGGATAACAGAGGTTAACACGAATCTTTCTCCTTGCTTTAGACGGAAGAGTTGAAGAATGAAAACCAGAAATGCCACACAGCAGAAAATCGTAGACAGGATCATGGTGGCCTGAACAGCCTGAATTGATTGATACTCTGCAAAAATAAAGCAGCCTTGATTAAAAATAATTTCTCTCTTTGCCTTCTCCTGCAAGGCGTAAAGGGGCAGAGCCATGTTCCTTAAGCAGGAGTTCAGCAGGTGCAGCAAAGCAGTTGTGTGTTGTGCTGTGTGTGTGTGTGCATTGCAGAGGCTGATTCTCCTCTGCTTCCATGGTATTAATACAGCCAGTGGCTTAAAGACCTCTAAAACCTTCTCATCAAACCGAGTGAAAACACTGAAGAGACTTCTTCTGCCACACGCCACCCTCTGCTGCCATCAATGTCCTTGGAGCACAGTGAAACTGCCAGCTGTCCCAAACAGCTTCCAAATGCAGACCCCAGCCTCCTACCAGAGCTGGAGACAGCTCTGTTGAGGAAGGTGTAACCAGACATGATGTCCACCCTTGGCACTAGAGATTCCTCTCATTCAGGTTTCTCATCCTGTCCATTACGTCCCTGTAAGTGGGAGCTAAAGCAACCAAGACCTTTTTAACCACGTGCAGCTGCTCTGTGTAAAACTGCAGCCTCTGTAGCCAGGCTGGGCCACAGGGCTGAGCTCCCATGGCCCCTCTCCTCCAGCACAGCCACGCTGCAGGCAGGAGCTCTGGGAGCAGCAGACACACCTCAGGCACCCCTCACCTCGCCAGGGTGGGCACCTGACTGCAGTGGACACACAGTAATACAGAGAACAAATGCAAAGCCTTAAATCCAGGTTAGCTGAAATACCCTGTGTGGAGTGCATCAGCTCACTGCCCATTACAGACTCTAAACCAACCTGATGCTAGGGAAACAAAATTACTTCATGGGTACATGGTTCTTCAAATTATTTACCTTTTGAACGTACACACAGACTGAAAGTCGAGAAATAAACAAAATATTTGAGAATACTTTCAATTTTTGTAAAGCAAGATATTACGCTAGGCTGTCTATTAAGACTTCCTTGTGAAAGCTCCAGCTCGTGTTTTCTTCCACTTTTCCCCCCATTCTTGTACACAGTCAGTATTTTTAGGTTCTTCTCTGCAAGTTAAATTCTGAGGCAAATTCTATCACTTCAGATGACTTCATTGTTTTTATCTAATATTTTAAGAACTTGTTAGCAGTCATTGTTGGTAGTTTGTGTTTACTCTCTTGCACTGTCTCCTAAGTGCACATGACAGAGCTTTCTGCTTTCCTCTCACAGAAACTGTTAGAACAGTTGCCTTTCCAAAATGAAAAACCAGTATTAAAGTTTTTAGAAGACCTGCCTAGTTAGGACATGCAGTTTTTTCAAGAACTATAAAACTACCCCTGTAAATCTCATAGCAATTTCACCAGATCTGCTGAAGGAACAACAGACACAGGCATGGAGAGACACTCACCATTGAACTCATCAGTGATAGCCATACAGGTGCTCCTATTCGTGGTACACACTCTCCACACATCTGCAGAAAAGTTATCTCCCACCCACCAGGCCTGCAAAATAAAAGTAAATGGCTCTTACAGGGAGAAAAAACAAACAAAACTTCGTTGTCCAAGTGTCTACTGATTAGATACCTCAACTGTAACAATTTTCTGTTTATTTTTGATACTTAACCACTCAAATGAAACTCACCATTGAACTCATCAGTGATAGCCATACAGGTGCTCCTATTCGTGGTACACACTCTCCACACATCTGCAGAAAAGTTATCTCCCACCCACCAGGCCTGCAAAATAAAAGTAAATGGCTCTTACAGGGAGAAAAAACAAACAAAACTCCTTTGTTGTCCAAGTGTCTACTGATTAGACACCTCAACTGTAACAATTTTCTCTTTATTTTTGATACTTAACCACTCAAATTAAATGTGAGATGTCATGGCATTTCAGAATAAAGGGTATATAATTATCCACACATCATTCTCATTTCAGACCTCTGTGAAGTAGGTAAGGGCATCTTAAACATCCCAAAGCACAAGGGATTTCCACTGTTTGGGCAGAAATTTTGTATAGTCAGTGATTACTCACTCCTTGAGACACCTAGACAAGATGTGCTTTGTTCACCCAGACCCTGTTTAGGATGCACACCTCTCTGAAGGCACAGCATTTGCTAATTTGCAGGAAATAGCATCACCTGTGAAACAGAAGGCATTTATAGATGCTCTGGCTCCTGCCACTGAAGTGATTCATCTCCATGCAATGCAGCTGTGCTGAGGTACACTATGGCATCTGTCTGGTAATGGCTGACAAATTAAGATCCTCCTGTGGGGCTCCTGCCACTGAAGTGATTCATCTCCATGCCATGCAGCTGTGCTGAGGTACACTATGCATCTGTCTGGTAATGCCTGACAAATTAAGATCCTCCTGTGCTATTTCTATTTTCAGGTTTTAACATTCAAGGCAAAATGGTACTGCAGCATCTGAGCAGATTTTTACAGTAGCTGGAAAATGACAAGCACTCCACAAGTGGCATTTCCTCAGGAAACCCATTCCCATTCCAATAGCTACCCAGGCCTTTGTTTTGACTAGAGCTGCACAAAATACGACTTTTAAATACGATTCCTGGTAGGATCTGCTGCTTAAATAGACATTCCAAAAACCTCAGAGCTTACTGTGCAGCTTTGCAAACAATACTGCAGTTAAAACTATAACATATTATGATAGTAGGTATATGGATAAACAGAACACTGTTTTAAGAAAAATAATTACTTTCTCAGAATGTCATTCATTTGTATTTTACAGTCCAAGTTCAATGTGTTATTTATCAGCTCTGAGCTCTATATAATATAGATACATAATATAAAATCTAATAGAAGATGGTTGTATGGTTTAAGTTTTTAAATGTTCAAAGGTAGCTAATGACACAAAGCAGAGTTCATAGGCTTTTATTTCTGCAGTAAATTGGGTTGTATGTAGCAGATTTGAAATAAGATTAGATTGCTTTGCCCACTGTCTTTGCTTTCTAAATATTCAAAGGAGCAGGGTAAGACAACCTGCTCCAGTGCTTGAATAATGACCTACTTCCATGGAACAATCAACCAGCTGACTAAAATATAACACCTGAGTTTGTACACTTCTGCAATAAACAGTTGTAGGTAACACATAATTTCACTTGCAGCATGGTCTTCACTAAACAGTACTTTCAGCAGCAGAGTTTTTAATATCAAAACCTGTACATACATCAGACCTCATAGACAGATTCCAGTACACAGACTTCTGATCAGGATAGTGGGCTGTTTTGGAAAATGGAGAACTTCATTAAAAGCTAGATATAAATACTGGAGGGTAAATTCTTTTTGATCACAAAAATAAAATGGAAATTTGAAAACAATGCAACAGAAAATATTCTAAAGCTTTGTGCTGAAGCTACCTCAACTTAATGGACAGAGATACATTCATGGTATTTCTCATTATTTAACTGGGCATCTTGGACAAACACTTGTGAGGCAGAGCACACTTTGACTGAAATTATCCCCACACATTAATCACCAGCTGTTTGACTTCATGTTTGACACAAAAGGACAGTGGATTTTCTCCTCCTCCCTGCTTTATGTCCAACTCAATCAAATCCCAGGGCTCCACCCTGTAAATATCCTCCCTGGCCAAGTCTCTCCCAGGGGAGGGGATCTGCTGCCTTGAGGTGACAACATGATGCCATGGACAGCCTTATCCAGCAGCAACGTGCATATCCAAGGCATTTCTGTTACAGAAAGGTCTTAGGACACCAGTGTGCCTAACAAACTGAGGTTCTCTCAGTAAACAAGTTGAAGACTAGAGAAGAAAATCTCAGTTTTTATGAAGTAAAGAAATCCCAGTGTGTTTGAGAGACACGGAGAAGAAAGGACACTTACATTGTCGATAGTTGAGATGAACAGCAGTGCTGCTGAGGTTATGTGAAACACGATAATGAAGGCCAGGAGAATCAGCATCTTTGCTCTGGGGAGGCTTTAGGCTGAGATAAATCTGTTGAACATAAGAAAGTACACGAACAATCTTTAAGAGCTGTCAGTGGATCAACCTGCAGCTCTGGTGCTGTTAGAGACCGTAACATCAGATGCAGCTGGAGTCCACAGCACATCTTCTATCTCTGCAGATACTTAACTGGCATCACGGATGTTAAAGTGAATCACAACTTGAAGTGAAGCCAAAAGCTGCATTTTGCAACCTTCCAGCATGATGGCTGCAGTGAATAAACACAGAAAGACGTTTCATTCTGTGTGCAAGGATGGAAAACTCCTTCACACAGCTTTTAGAGAAGTGCATTTCAAATTACAGCCTCATGTGCAGTGATGATAGTATTTCCACTGACTGCAGTGACTCCAACCATCCCTCTAAAGAAGGAAGAACCAGATTTCAAAAGGATGCTTGTAGAACAAAATGAAGTGCATCAAGAACTACCTCCTAGATTTAGTAACACCTGTGTTGTACCTTAGGCCTCACGCCCTTTGTTCATAGAGTTGTAAGTTTTATCCATTGAATAATGACTAAGGACTACCATTCTCTTCAATGTGTTGCTCCCACTGGTAGGGCTGAATAAACCCATTAATTACATAATAATCCGGTTAGCTATTTTATGTTCAGTCACTTACTACTCTGTAGGCTACCTATTACCTTCATACCTTATTTAACCCACCTATTACAATGTCACATCTCACATGAAAAAAAATATGTTCTTATATACAAGAGAATCAGAACCCGTATTTAACTGGAATCCCCAGGAAATCTGTGGGCACATAACAAATAGGTTAGGGAAAACTACTGCTACTAATACACAGAAAAATGTAATTGCTTGACATATCTATTTCTCCTTGGCCAGAAATTCTTGCCAATTAATATATGCTGTAAGGAATCTGCAGCCTTGCAGATCTTTGCAGTTAAGGTGCACCACTCTGTACATCATCTGCATGTTGTCACTCATCAGTACATTAATGCATATTTCTCCCTTTCCTTGCTTTGGACACATTCTATGATGTCAAATGATGCCACTCACATACACAGTAAATATTCAGAAGAAAGGGCAGTTATGAATTTTAATACTTCCATTATTTTTTTTTCATGTCTAATCCCTCTCTCCTACTGCCATTTACTGGAATTATGAACCACATGAATAATTTCACCAAAGAAAAGGACTACTCTGACAGCATTTTTAAAGCAGCTCCACTGGCACTCGCATCAGGGCAAATAATAACTACTCCGCAAAACTTTAACAAAAAGATAATTGACAGCATAGTAACTGAGTGAATAGAGACCAGGAGTTCCAGAATAATCCTCTCCATCTCCACTGCAGTACAGAATTGTAACAAGCTCAAAGGCAAATAGCATTGAAGTGCTTTTTTGAAAAATACGGGGACAGCCTTGTATCCATATCTAATGAATGGGAAAGCCAAGTCAAACCCTAAAATAGGAAAAGCAGCTACTCTAGTGTGTATTCTCTGTTAAACTCTGCCTTCCCAGCCACAAGGAAGAACAGAAAGTGGGAATTGCCTCCAATGAGGTGATCTACTGTATGACTCAAGGTCCTTTGAATCCAGTTCCACTTCTAAAAATGTCATTCATGGTTCCCTATCAAGCCTTGCTTGAATGAAAGGAAGAAGAAAGGAAAATAAGATATTTTGTGGGTTTGTATAATACCACATCAAAATATTTTCATTGTGATATATACCAGTCTTTGCACAGCACCCTCTTGTCTTGTGGCTGTTTTTTTCTGAGGTTCATTTCTTGCACAGATGGTATCTAAGCATTCAATAATGCAACAATCATCTCCCATATAAGGAGAGAGAACCACATTGTACTCGGTATTATTTTAAGAATAACAATACATCTTCATCTTATTACATGAAGCAACATAAAGTAAGAGAAACCAAAAAACGTAACCTAATTAAAACCAATCTTGCAAAAGCAAGACTTGCCAGCACAGAAGAGCCCACTTTATCTTTAATCAAGTGAATGGTTTTGTTTTACTGTTTTCAGCCATAAAGAGAAGTGTTTCAGACAGGACAGATAAACAGGTATGGCTGGTGAGAAGATATTTTTTGTTTTACCCAAATAAAGCCAAGATTAAATGAAAGAGATTTTTGTTTTATCTCAAAAAAAAAAAAAAGACAGTAAGAAAGGTCTGATGGGTCTGATGTTTCTTTTTGAAGACCCTTCATAACAACCATCTTCAGATTCCCCCTCCTGCCTTGCTGGCAGCTGCTCCCTGCACAAGCTGCTACAACTTCTGTGCACACAGTGCTAAACAATGACACATGGAGACAGGAATTAAATACACTGGGGGAAAAGAAGGAGACAGACCATTTCCAAGTAATTAATACCAGGAAAAGACAAGAACTGGTTATCCAATCTGTCATGCCTGAGCAGGATCCCAGAAGTGCACAGACCTCAATCACTCCTACAAACTTTCCCTTCCCATGGAGACGCAGGAGTTTCTGTGGTTCACCCCAGCTTGCACAAGGAATAATGAAGGGAGTAGGGTTTTCCAGAGAAACTCTCTGTGATTTGTGGGCAGGAAGCAAAGAGCAGCTCCCCTCTTCCAAGATGCAGCCAGCAACATTGCAGATGGTACTGCAGAATCTGCATCCCTCTCTAGGCAGAAATTCTGGATTTCATCTACCAGAAAGAACTGCTAGTCCTCCTCCACTCCACACACTGCTGGAATTCAAAACCTTACAGTGCAGACTCAAGATTCTTCCACATTCCTTCCCCAGCCTCTGAGGACAGTCTGCCTGGGAACCTCTCCTAGCAGCTCCTTTCCTCTCCCTCGAGCAAGGGAAGGACACGGTTACCGAGCACTGTTTGCATTAACGCTCAGAATTCTTATTCACTGCTGGAATTCAAAACCTTACAGTGCAGACTCAAGATTCTTCCACATTCCTTCCCCAGCCTCTGAGGACAGTCTGCCTGGGAACCTCTCCTAGCAGCTCCTTTCCTCTCCCTGCGAGCAAGGGAAGGACACGGTTACAGAGCACTGTTTGCATTAATGCTCAGAATTCTTATGTTACTGATGTATTACTAACCAAACACTTTGGTATCATCCTATTCTGCACACTAGCTGTACTCTTTTTCTTATTTACCATGAACTGCTTCCTGGGCAGAGTGATTTTTCACCTTCTCTCATCTGCAGTTGAAACATACCATGCTCTCAGGTCAGGGTGTTCATGAATTTAAAGTACACTGCCTTTAGGCATGGATGAAGGCTGGGATGATGCAACAGATACTGTCCATCATTCCCCAAAGTGGCTTGAATTCTTTTAGTAGTTTTTACACACACACAAATATATGAGAAAAGCTTTTTGGACACACTACACTTACAATGATGGAGCCACCCTTCTCAGAAGTACACGATGAAAAGACTACAGGCAACAGTTACAAGTTGCAACAAGGAATATTCCAATTGTGAAAAAAGTATTAATTACATTCAATGAGCATGATTAAGTACTGGAACAGGGCCCATGAGGCTGTGGGATCTCCATTCTTGGACATCTTCCTGACTTGACTGAAGCAAGGCCCAGAATGTCCTGATCTAACCCCCTGCTTGGAGCCAGAGTTTGCACTAGAGACCTCCAGAGGCTCCTTCCAGCCCAGCTCTCCTGTCAATCTGTAGCTATTTCAGGAACCTCCCTGTACTAATCTCCAGCAAAGCTCTGACAAAAAAGAACATAATATTTGACTTAGCTCATCACATGTGCCATTAAAAACAGATTTGGGGGTTCCAGTAAGGATGACATTGGATGTCCACATGAATTCCTTCAAGTGCAAGCCTCAGCATTTAATACCACTTCATAAGGTCTGGTGTAAGGCAGATGTGGACAGATACTGCTGAGCTACAAGTGCAGACTGCCACTGGATCTAGAAAGACTAAGTTACAGGAATCCCACTGAACACATCCAGATTTGCTGTGGTAATAAGTTTCCCACAAATGCTGTTAAGTCACAGAATACTTACACAAAACACAATAAAACAGAAGGCCAGTTAGAACAACAATGCTTTTTTTTTCCAATTAGTGCAGAAGTAATGCTCCAGTGCTACTCCATTTTGCATGGGGAGGATAAATGCAGCAGTCACACTTCTCTTGAATCTCTTCAGTAATGTAGACTTTTGGAAGCAGTAGCTTGCACTTGCCATGGCAGAGAGCCTGATGAGCTTTAGAAGAAGTGGCTAAGAAGGGCCTCTGCTGTAATCTCTTGGACATGCAGAGACAAGTATGTTTATACAGGATAAGACACTCCAACCATCACAGAATTGCACAGTAAAGTAAGGTATCTAGGCCAGGGTTTCCAACATTTCTGAACTGTAGTGTTTCAAAACTGGATTGTCTCCCTATGTCATATCACTCACAAAAACACATCCCCTGCAGAAAAGCCTCAGTTTATCTCCAGGATAAAGTTTATCTTTAATGTCCATCAGCATAAAGAAACATGACTATTTAAGTTTTTTCTGCTGTTTAGTACAGCAAGCAAGCAAAAATGAAACTAGTCTTTGACAGCTCTTAGCAGAAGTTTTATCATTACTTTCCAACCCAGATGTCATCTCCACAACAAATGCTTTGCTTTCCTCCCATGCAGTTCGCCTCTGCTGCCAGGCTGTTTCTCATGTTTGTGCATACTCAATTTTTGCAACCAGCAATGCTTAGTGCAGTGTGTTTATCCTGGGCTCATTTGCATTGGAAAGGCTGAAGCTCACCCCCCCAACACTGGCTGCTGCCCTCACTCCCTAAAATCAAGTCTGGGGTTTTTATCATCTTCATCTGAGCCAATGTCTGAGAAATCTTCCACACAGACAGTCCTGGTTCATACCCTTACAAGCACGATGAAATCTCTGCAGAATAGCTCCTGCTCTGCACAGACCGAGGCTGGGGGTGAGCAGACTCTCAACACCCACATTTTGTGTGCTGAAAAGACACACCCAAAACAAGGGGCAGAGGATCCTGCTAAACAAGTTACCATACCTGCAGCTCTCTGCTC